AAACATAAAGTTTTCTGAGTTGGAAGACAGGACTTTTAAATCAATAAACCGACAAACCAACACCAATCACTAATTGGTTTATATCATTTAACACTTTGGGCAAAAGAACACAGGGTTAAATATCCAAAGACCTAAATCTTAGACTCTAAGGAAAAGTCCATGGATAAACTCACAGACTTATCTGGTTTACAGTTACCCCTTATATTAAAGATAAAGGATCTCAGCATCCTATTGGAATTTATTAGAGGAAGTAAAATATTATGTAAAAAGATTTCTACATCTGTAAGAAGTGAACTTCTTTATACATGTAATAATGAAGCACTGTGAAAAGCAAATGTGTTTATAAGTGCTAGCTATTTTATGTGCATATAACCCAGGTTCAATAGAAAGAGTACCAAGTCCTTGAAATAATTTAAAAATTAAAGTGCACTATGGGAAGTGAATTTTAGTTTTAAAAGTTGAACTCATTAAATATTAATAAAAGACAATAAAAGTACAGTATACAGATCTAGAACTTAATGCAAAGGAACAAAAACTGCACTGAAATTTTGGGGAGCTTATGTCAAAAAGTAAGTTTTTTTATTTTATCACTAAAAAAAGGATGTTGTGTGACAATAAAGGGACCAATGTGAGGAGCCATACAGTTGTACTATTGCTATTAAATAATTAATAACATGCTAATGATTATAAATATGATACGGTTAAGAGAATCTACCATTTGCTAGGCTCTAACTGTATACCAGGTATGTTATGTACATCCTTTATATCTTTGTTAGACAAATAAGAAAACAGTTAAGATATGTATGATTTTGTATAAACAGACTTTTATTCAACCCGTCAAATAAAAACTTCTTTGCATGTTTCATCAGTTAAGGAATTTAATGCCCATTAATCTGTTGAAGTGTACCTATACCTTGAATTTTTCTGATAACCTTATTAGATTGCCATTGCTTTCTTGTCTCTTACATGCCCCATCTTCCCCTTTTTAAAGATATGCATTGGAACTAACTCAGGGATACAAGATGTAAGAGTCTCATCTTGATTATCAAAGGGCCTGCTACAGAAACTGAGAATATACTAAACACCTACTTCAACTGATTCTGTGTCTGGAAAATTCACTCATATATGTCAGAAGCTGTTCATGCACTTTGGCACATAAAGGCCTAGTTGTTAACAAAAATCGGTTATTTCCTCCACAACAAAGGTAACCAACACAAACTGAATTGGCCATCCTATTGTTCAATAAATAGTTTGTCGATAGACCATTGCTTAAATTGCTCTAAAATATGTTTTGGATCGTGTTTACGTACACATGTACACGGATGAATACACCTAGACAAAACATCTGTCAAGTAAAAAGATACAACTGTATAAGAATGGGAAAGTTGAGTATGACCCATTAATAAGTAAGTAGAGTACAAGATTCCTAATTTTACATTTCAAATAAATTATTGCAAAAAAATCAACACAATTAATTTACTCTAAATTTAATCTGAAAATTCTATGGCTGAGAAAAACCAAACATCAGACGTCACATAAATTAGTTATACAAAGAAAACCAAAGCAAACACTTCCTCCCCTGCCCCCACCATTCACCCCATATTAAATATCAGTTGTAGTCAAACAAAATTTAGAAATTTGGCTCCTCATCACCTCTGTCTTCTAAATACTTCATAATCATAGAAAGTCCAATATGCAACTTAAGATTTGCAATAGCATGTGGTATTAGAAAAGTTACTAAGCAAAAACTATGCACGATTATTTGGGACCATAATTATTAGTTCAGAACAACTCCATAGCAATTACATGGGTAACTTAACTTCTCGATATTAATGTACACAGATTGCTTGAATTAGCACTAAAGTATTCTTAAGGAAGTAATCCTTAAAATTCTGTAAAAGATTATAACCTGAAACAAAACTTTGAATAAAAAACAGAACTAAAATTTTTTAAAAGTAGAGAGTCACGCAAGTAGAATTATTTATAAAAGCAAAGGTTAAGGAGCTCTATTAACAGTCTCTACTTGTAACTATCCACCGTGATGTCCAATGTTTGCTGGCTTCTCCCTAGTTGGATGAAATTTTTAATGTAAATGCTATCTTTAACAGATAGTAGAAAATCGTAAGATGTCTTCATAGTATTAAAGAAGCTAATATATCCCTTCATTTAAAAATGACTTTTTCTAGGGGTACCTAGGTGGCTCAGTTGGATAAATGTCTGCCTTCAACTCAAGTCATGATCCCAGGATCCTGGGATGGAGCCCTGCATTGGGCTCCCTGCTCAGCGGGGAGTCTACTTCTTCCTCTCCCTCTGCCCTTCCCTCTCCACTTGTGCTCTGTCTCTTGCTTTCTCTCTCTCTCTCAAATAAATAAATAAATATCTTTTAAAAAAATGACTTTTTCTAAATAAAATACTAAGGGGATGGCCAGGAAATTAAGACTTGGAAATGGATAAAATGTATGATTGTTGAGGAAAACATTTTCATTTTCCTAGGTCACTTCAAGTATTACTGTACTGAAGCAAGACAAGTGGACATAAGTTTATTCATGGTAGTTCACTTTCAAAATGATATAGAAGAAAGTAGAGAATATATTGGTTTATTCAAAATTCTTAATGGGAAACCTATGTTAGTTCGCACATACATCTAAATTTGAGTAAAAATAACAGTTGCTATTTTCGAGCCCAACATAGGGCTCGAACTCACAACCCTGAGTTCAAGACCTGAGCTGAGATCAGGAGTTGCACTCTTAACTGAATGAGCCACCCAGGTGCCCCTAACAATAGCTGCTACTAAAATTAAATCTTTAGGCAGTATCTTAGAGGTACCAAAGAAAGATGAACTGTCTACTAGTATGTTAGAAGAAAGGCATTTCATAAAGAGTAATTCCATATTAAGTTAAAAGGTAACTTTATATTAGCCAGATTCTTAACAAGATTCTATTCTCTTAACACAGTTGTTCCAAGCAGAGTTAATATTCTCACACATAGTAAATTCTTAATAAACATTTGAATAAACTGTGAATATAGCATTCAATGGATTAAATGAATTCTCATGTTCTCTTTGTTCCTCTTCCCAACCTTTAATACAGTCACGATGCTATATGGAATATGATATCAGAGACCATGCCATTTTTGCTTACTACAGTATTTCCTTGACATAGAATAGGCCTTCAATAAGCGTTTGCGTAATGCATGAAATTTTCCTATAATATCAACAATTGGGCCATGATTCGACAGTCATCATCAGAATGTTCTTGTGCTTATTGCCAAGGGCAACACAATAGACACAGTAGGAAACGCAATAATCCAAATTAATCACTTGTTTATAAGCATGACCTAGAAGAGTGAACATTAGGTGTAAAAAAGGGACTAAAACGAAATCTTCTACTATTTCAATCATGAATGCAATAGAATTTTTGCAGATTTTCTCTGATTCAATCAGGATACTGGCATACTGCCATCACCAAGTATAGTGATTGCAGGCTTGGCAATTTTTTGTTTTAAAAAGTGCTATTACTAAAAATGCCTAGGAAAAGTACGTGATTTCTCCCAATTTCTTAGGTAATTACCACTTGACTATACTTGATAAGTGGGGCCTAAATGCTTTTTTATAGCTGTGTGAGTTGTTTTCATTTTCTAACACATTTTTGGCATATACTGGGGAATAACGTTTTTGACTGAACGAAGGTATGAAATAACTTTTAAAAGAATCTTCTTTACTTATAAAACAAACAAAGACAAAGTAGCCCTCATGTAGCCCTCAAGATCTCCAGGATGTATTAAGAATGAGAGAGTAATGATGAAATATTTTCTCCAAAAGCAGAATTCTTTATCCATAGGGCTAAACTAAAACAAGTGAGTTAAAAATAGTATTTTAAGGTAAGTTTTTTGTGGCAGATTAGTCTTTCCTACTGAGAAGCAGGCTCTAATTCGCCTTCCTTTACATCTGGATTAACTTTACTGACGTGTGTCATCAAAAGACAACAGTGGAATAGACATTCTGGGACTTCTGAGCCAGGTCAAAAGAACGCTTGCAGCTGTGCTTGGCTTTTGAAACAGTTTCTGTGACCCCCTGAGTTGTCACATGGTAAGTCTAACTACCCTGGGCCTCCCATGCTGGAGGGGCCGTAGGCAGGCACTCCCAGTTCCAGCCGACACTACATTTCTGCCGTTCCCACCAAGGTGCCAGATATGTGGGTGAAACAGTTTGGACCTTCCACGCCAGCCCATCTGTCAGCTAAATTCCAGCAAAAACCACTTTTGATGCCTTGTGCAATAGGAAGTTCAGTAAGCCAAGCCCTTTTTCTTTCTGACTCACAAATCATATAATATTAAAAAATAAAATGGTGCTTAAAAATTATTAACCCTTTGTTTTGCAGTAACGTCTTCTATAGCAAGAAGATAACTGGAACACTTAGAAGTGAATGTATGTACTACCTGAAATAATTTTTTACCTATCTTGAATCTGTTGACCAACTCATCAATTTCCAACTATGTCTGGAATTAAAAGCCTTCTCCACGGTTAATTCTGTCATCATATATGTGTAGTGACAAAAGCCTCAAGTGACTTCTTTTTTCCCCACCAACTACTTTTCTTAGTCATGGATGACTGCTTCCCTGGAGGGTTGTTTTTGCCAAGAGAACTATAGTTTTCAACGCTTATTCTGCTCTCTTTTAAGGGCTCTTAGGTTAGACTCTGAACTCTCACGACACTAACAGGTGCAGAATGGTACGAAAAAGTAGAAAGCCAATAAAAAACATATTGGCCACATACAAATAAAAGCAATTACATTACAAGTAAATACAAAGCAAATCAAAGATATAAGCAATTCAAAGAGCTACACTCAACAAGCTAATCCAGACCGCTAAAAAACCAGCCGGTCAACATGTCCCAAAGGATCAATTTAACCTTTTAGAATTCTGAAAGTGAGTTTGGTATAAAGAGTATAACTATATCTTGAGTATTTAGTATTTGTAGCCAGAGAGAAAATCCTGTTTACCTGCAAATCAATATGGTTGTCAATACAACGTTCATTCTTCTCTGCCAAAATCTTCCCATAGTTTTCTGATTTGATAAGATTTTCAACTCTGGTTGTATCTTTCACTTCTGCCTCCAAATCCTTCATTGTTTCAGTTTCATTTTTTACAGTAACAGTATCAGACATCCTCATCAGCAAAGGTTATTTTAGAATTCTACAGGGAACTTGAAGCCTTAGCAAGAAAGGAAAAAAATTTAAATTCAGTTTGAAACATTTCTTAAATTCTTTGAAATGTTTGAAACATTTCTTAAATTCTGTACAATATTGACTAAGTGCCTTCTATGGTCCAGGAATAATGTTGAGTTTACAAAGGCAGAAGCAAAATTCTTGCTTTCAAAGAGTACAGAGCTTAGTGGCAGACATATACAAATTAAAAAAAAGCATAATACAACGAGATACGAGCTATAATAAGGATACCAGGTAATTCTGATGTACATATCACTTTTTTTTTTTTAAAGACTTTTATTTATTTATTTGACAGACAGAGAGCACAAGCAGGGGTAGCAGTAGACAGAGGGAGAGGGAGGAGAAGCAGACCCCCTCACTGAGCAGGGAGCCCTATGCAGGGCTCGATCCCATCATGACCTGAGCCAAAGGCAGACACTTAGCTGAATGAGCCACCCAGGTACCTGCACATTTCCCTTTTAAAGGGTCTTAAGAAACATTAAGGAGTGAGCCATATCAAAGTAAAAGACAATGGTTGCAGAGTTATAAAAAATACATATTTAGATGACATGAGAAATCTTTTTTATCTAAAAGGATTTCAGGAGTATCATCCTGTAAGAAAAATGTATTCATATTATAGCCTTCATTTAGATTCCTAAAGTTCTAAAATTCTTAAATTTTCTTTCAATTCCAAAAGGAAATAATTAAAAAAAAATAGACAGCAACATTGTATACAAAACACAGTTGGGAATGTGCATTAATAGTCTGCATTAGGAATCAAGCATTGAAAACTTTCCTGACTAATGTGATTCAGTGCCTAACAACATGTATTACCAGACACTGAGGAAATCAAATCCATAGGATGCTAATATATTTCATATCTTTAGTGAGGATAAGAAAACATTGGGGACTTTATACTGGATATCAGATAGGAATGTATGAGGGACAAGTATCAATTTAGATCCTGTGAGAAATGTGATATTGAAGAGGAGAACTTGATGTCAACAACTTATATTTTTTTCTAGCTTGAGATATAATTGACATATAACAATGTGTAAGTTCAAGGTACATGACATAATGATTTGATACTCACATATACTGTGAAATGACTGCCACAATATATCGCTTAACATAATAACAATATCTAAACAGACGAACAAAAAATATCTAAACACAAATTTCAAAAGTCCATAAACAATCTGAAAAGGTTAAAAAACAAAAAAAAGAGGGAGAAATAGATTCTAAAGTCACAGGTAGACTAAACTGAATTTAAAAGTCTTCCTTAATTATATTCCATGCCAGAGTTAATTGGCTCATTCTCAAAACAATAAGGTTATTAAGAGAAAGGGCATTTCTTAAAATACTCTGGTTCCTTGCTTTTTATTTGTAAGATTTTGAAAGAAAAGGGATGTGTTTTTCTCAAGTGTTCAGACAGGTTACCTGACGTATCCTATGGAACTGGGATTGTGGTGTCCCACAAAAATAAAATAAAGTAATCCAAGGTTCTTTTTCGCAGTTGTCAGCCAGGATGTCAAGTGTATTGAACCATCTGGAATCTGGCAGGAGGAGTCCCATGTCCTTGTCACCACTGTAGGTTCCTGGGCTGAGGACTGTTGTGGATCAAATATATCATACCTTTCAGTGGCCTAAAATTAAAACGAAAGGAAATATTTTAATAAAATAGCCAAGAGAAATGGAACACTATATAGTAATTCAGAAATTAAAAATGCTACTGTTGGTGAATTTATTATTTTCTTGTCCTAAACAAGAGTCAGAATGCTTAATTATGACATGTATTTTGTGAGCCTGAAGTCACTCAGGGCACATAGCGAATTTAGCAAGCAGTAAAAGCAGAGGGGAGAAGAAAAAAGGGAACTAACATATAATAAGAATTTAGTATGTGGTCAGTGTTGTAAGGGAGATAACTGTTTATTTTATAGATAAAGGAAAAAAAGGTTTGCCTAAGATTGTGACCAAAAATGCTTAACTCCAAGAAGAGTTTTCTTCCAGAGCTACAACTCTATGGACTTAAGGGAAGACTGAAGTTGTGAATAATGATCACACTCTAGGTTTTTAAGAGTACAAAAGAACAAAAGGTTGTAATAAGTCATTTAACATTTTCAAAGAAACCCACATTGGTCTGTTAAAAGCAAATGTCTATGAAGGGTAGAATGACTATTTTCAAAGACATATGAAATGCCAAAATTCTTCCAGTGTCATCTGTTTTTAAAGTCAGTTTCATTTTATGTTTCTCTAGTGCAAATGAATATATTATAGCAAATAAACAGCTCTAAAAATCCTACATAGCTTTTCCATGTTCCTTTGACAGTGTTGTTGTCAATAAACAGATCAGTACAGTTTTAAGGTGAAACAACTGAATATAGTATGGTGTAAGCACCAAGAGATAATATGGCCAACCATGCATCACAAAACCATTCACATCTTATACTAGCTCTTCAAAAACTAATTTGAAATATAATAATTTATAACCCTGATATAGATTCACATTAGTTTACACATCTTAATTTTACTAAGAGATAACAGGAGGGATCAACAAATGTCCAAGTTGTTCTGACACTGTCCTCTCTATTTCATTGAGGTTGCTAGGCCACTAAATCAAATAACTGTTTTGTTTAATTTTCACAAAAAACAAAAAACAAAAAATACTTTGATTTAATTTTTCTAATTTTTAACTTTTTGTCTCACAAAATGGTAGACACAAGATGGCAGCACCCACTAAGCACCCAAATTATTATGTGTTTTTTTTTTTTTTAGTAAAGGACTTGTGATTCAATCATGAATCCTTTAAGTTTGAAATTGCAAAGCAAGGCTATAATCCATATAAGAAAAAAAAGGGGGGGGTGCTCCTAGACGGCTCAGTCAGTTAAGTGTCTGACTCTTGGTTTTGGCTGGGGTCATGATCTCTGGCTTGTGAGATCGAGCCCCATGTCAGGCTCCACGCTGAGAATGGAGCCTGCTTGAGATTCTCTCTCTCCCTCTCCCTATGCCCCTCCCCCTGCACGTGCTCGCTCTCTCTCTCTCTTACTAAAATAAATAAATCTTAAAAAAAAAACTAAAAAAGGCAATAGCTGCAAGGGGTAATGAGGATGAGGCACAATATAAAGAGGTAAACACTCAGTTCTGAGGAACCCCAATGAACCTTACGAACCACCTAGTTGAATCTAATAATTTACCATGCAAGCTACTATTAGCACCCAGAAGTCAAATGACCTGTCCAAAATCACACAACCAATGTGATAACCAATACTTGTCAATATTCTACACCACCTGACAAACTAAAAAAATAAATGATTTTGAACCAAAATGACCAGTTATTATTTCCTGGGGAAGAGATAATGATCAAGTACATTAGCATTATACCAGAGTTTAAAACCCAGCTCTGCCAGTTATGACTTTGGAAATCACTTAACCTTTCTGAGCCGTAATTTTCTGAGCTATAAAGTAGGAAAAGGAACATTTCACTCATAAACTTATTGGGAAGACTGAATGTTTGGGTTTTTTTTTATGACTGATTTATTCATTTGAGAGGGAGAGTGAGTGAGTGGCAGTAGGGCAGAGGGAGAGAATCTTCGAGCAGACTCTGCTGAGCAAGACACCCTATGCAGGGCCCGACCCTCTGATCCATGAGATCATGACCTGAGCCAAAACCAACAGTCGGATGCTTAACCGACTGAGACACCCAGGCACCGCAAGACTGAATGTTTTAAATAAAAATGTTTTTCCTCCCCACATCTTCAAATAAAAGAGATAATACAGCTTTTTGATACTGACTAAAACAAAAACCTTTTTATCTTGGCATAATGCCTATACTTCTGGAGTTACTCAAGGCCGTATGGGCATGTGGGGGTCAAGTATAGGAAGCTACAAGATAGGGATGGCATATGGTGTCTCTGCCATAACAATTAGGAGTCACCCTAATGTCATAAATTGTTATACAATAAGTGAAAGTGATTTAAAAATAAATTTGGTAAGTTTCTACAACAGAAAGGCAACTTAGAGAAAGTTAGCAAAATGTTGGTATTTGTTAAGTGCATACATGTGAGTACCTGTTACTGGTATTTAAAAATTGTCTCAATCTGTTTCAACCTAAAAGAGATGGATATATGTGCTCAAAATTCATATTCAACTTTGAATAAACATTCTTGTAACTGCTAACATGTTATTTATTAGGAACAAGTCAGAGATTTGATTATATGCAATTTCTGTGCTACCAGGTAGCCAACAAAAGATAAATGTCTGTATAAATAATAAAATCTTCAGAACCACATGCACAAAAAGGTTGGCACCCACCTGGCACCATAAGCAAAAGGGAATCAAAGGTAAAATTAAAGATCGTAAGCTAAAAAAAAAAACAAACTATAAAAGTACAAGGAAATATAAGAAATATTTTTATAATTATTGGGAGAGCCCTTACCAAGCATGACATAAAAATCTAGAAGCTATCAAAGAAAGAGTAATAAAACTTACAATAAAGTTTTAATATTTCTGTATGACAAAGTGTAACAAAGAGATTAAAAGGTAAATGATAAAATCTATTTCCAACAGAAAGGGTCAAAGTATCTAAAGAAGCTTTTATAAATCAAGAGGGAAAAAAAAAGAGAGAAATGGGGAATAGGCAATCTACAAACACAAATAATTACCACCAAAAATTAATACTAACATATAGCTTATCACGTGCCAGGTGTTGTTCTACTACCTTTCATAATTAATAAATTTAGAGCTCACAATAATTCCAAGTAGATCCTGTTATCACCCCTGTTTTATAGATTAGGAAACTAAGGCACAGAGAAATTAAGTGATTTGTCCAAGGTCACACAGGTATCCCCCTCCAGGCTCTTTCTTATTATCCACAGTGCTCTATCATCATTCCTGTGCACCCAGAGGAGGGGCAATCTGTATTTAGAGAACACCTTTATTTCAAGAGTTTTCTTCTTTTTAAAACGATTTTATTTATTTATTTGACAGAAGAGAGAGCACGTGCACAAGCATAGGGAGCCAGAGGGAGAGACAGAACCCAACATGGGGCTGGATCCCAGGACTCTGGGATCATGACCTGAGCCGAACGCAGACTACTAATCAACTGAGCCACCCAGGCGCCCCTCAAGAGTTCTTATAACATGTACTAACTCCCTTAGCATTGTGTTCATTACAAAAAGTAAACTTAGCCTTTTCACATGGATAGGAGCTATGTATTGTTCTTTGCTGCACAGCAAGACAGCACTATTAACGTATAGTGGTCAATAAAGCTAATCACTATTGAAATATCAGAACTGCTGCATAATCATCCAGTTTCTCTTAATCTCCCTATCTCTGTAATCATCACTATCAAGTAAGGTAAACCTGGTTGGCAATAAGGATTCAGTTTGTGGCTAAGGAACAATGTGAAGCCTAGTAGTTTACAAATGATAAATATGAATACTTAAGTACCTTCCTCAAGGAAACAAAGCAAGACAGAATTGGGATCAATATTTGAAAAGACAGACTATTATATGCAATCCATGAGTGTGTAGTTTCTTTAGTGAAAATTTCAGATAGAATTTTCAGCAAGAAAAATACAATACTGCTAATTCAAAGGATCAGTTTATTATGCCTGGGGTCTAATGTTTGGTTCTACAGCACAAAAGAACTGAAAAGTTAGGCATTTACAAAAATAAATAGTCTACTTTCACATGAAGAAAATCAGTTTACTCCAGGTTAACAAAACATCAAAAAATCAATTAATTTTGTTACGAGGAAGAAATCTGGCTCCTACAGGTAAAAATGAAGTACTCTTCACATGAATATTGAGGGAAAAAAGAATTACATTACTGAAGTTATCCGAAAGAGAATTTGGCAAAGCACACTGCATTTTTCTTCCCCTATGACTACCTGGTTATTCAATGTCATTTCATTAGATGAACACAGTGCTTATTTCTTCCCTTAGAGTAAAACATGTAATCAGGCAGGCAAATTTAGAAAATAAACCAAGTTGCACAAGACCAACACCCATCAGCTTCTTCCCTTAAGGTTAGCAATCAACACAACCAATTGGTCATGGGCCTCTGGTGAGAAAGACAAGGAAAACGGATTATGCTCTATTTAGAAAGAATGAAAATTCACATTCTAAGAGTCAGTTACTTGAAGAAGAATATAAGCACCAATATTTCAAAATGCTAAATGTCTATGTGATTTATAAACAGCTACTATCATCCAGAAATGTAACGAGGAACCACAGAAAGCAACAAAGCTGCAATAAGTATTAGCTATGTTTTACAAGAGCAAAAGAGAAAGAACTACCTTGACCTAATGGAGTTGGTGAAACCCAAGAGAGATGGTTAGCAATGACATTTATCAACAACTATACAAAATAATTTTAAGATGATATTTAAGGAGAGGGGAAAAGACTTGGTAAGTTGAAGAATGGGTGCAAATAAGAATCCTACAAGACTATGAAACAAATCAGTTTTAGAGAAGAAGTGATACAGAGCCGTAAGATGTTACAAGAACATGTTGCATTCTCAGTGGAGAAATGGGGAAGATAGGAAAAAGAAGCCCATTTAATGGAAAGAGAGTATATATGTTCAAGGTGAAGACAAACCAACCAACAAACAAACCAAAAAAACTGATGATACCTAGAGGTGTGATG